TTTTCTTTTGAACTCTCCTCTCCTTTTGCAAGGCTCTCAGCCTACCTCGCTAGCTCACCTTTTGCAAGGCTCTCAGCCTTCCTCTCTTTCTCACTAGTGTTACAAGATTCGGCCTCTTTCTCCTTTTTCCATGCCTCCACACTTCGCTTCACATGCATTAGATCTTCATAAACTTCGTTTACAAGATTCCTTGTGTTTATTACTCTATTGTTGCTTAACGCCTTTGTTGTGTTATGAGGTGATAGAGGTAATCACTAAAGCTTTTGGTTGAATTGATTTTTGATCTTGGTGACTCAATTGAATCGGAGGTGCTATCTAGCTTTGTTCTGGTAGTGTTGTCGTATCAATAGTTTTGGATGAATTGAGTCCTCACAATGATTTATGGAAAATTCAAGTTAGAGTTTCGAGATTGTGGAAATCCTTGAATACAAAATTATAGAACCTCCTTATTAGTCAGATATGAGTTTAATTGATGCAAAGGTATGTTTTAATTTTTTATGTCTTTTAATTTGATAATTTTTCATTTCATAATTTTTTTTATTTTATTATTTTATATAATATTTTTTGGTGGTCTCTTTTATGTTATATATTTTTATTTATCATTTTATATTTTCTTAATTTTTCAGTTATTTTATATTTTTTATTTTAGAACTCAATTATGCATGTTTAAATTTACAAAATTAATTATTATTTATCTTACTATTAAATATTTTATATCTAATTTTTTAATTTTTTAATGATTTTGAATTAAAATTACTCAATTTATGTTTTTTATTTTTTTTATCATTAATTTTTTCTTATTATTTTTTATTCTGTGTTTAACATTTTTTTTTAGGGGTCAATTATGTAGGAACAAGCATGGATCAACAAATGATGCAGGTTTAAATTTACAAAATTAATTTTTAATTATATTATTATTAATTATTTTATTTTATTTATTTTTCCAATTTATTTCTATTTTCTATTTTAATGCTCTTTCTTCATAATAATAGTTTTTCTTTATTTATTCCTGATTTTTATTTTTAGAAATTACCCTCTTATTTTTTTATTTTGTTTAATATTAATTAATTATTTTAATTTTTTATTTTATTGTGTAATATATGTTTTTGTTTTGGGGCTCACTAATGTATGTTTTAAGATAAGAAGTTAATTATTATTTATATGATTATTACATAGTTTATTTTATTGATTTTTATGATTTACATTCTATTTTCTATTTTTTTGCATAACAATATTTTTTATTTATTTTCCTGATTTATATTTCTTTAAAATTAGTCTCTTAAGTTTTTTTACCTTTTTGTTATCATCCTGTTGTTTAATATTGTTGTTGTTTTTTGGCTCAGTGATCCATGTTTAACTTTTAAAAAATAATTATTATTAAATAGGTTTTTAAAAATTTATTTTTCTAATCTATATTATATTTTTCTGTTTTAATTTTTCTATAATCATATTTTTTATTCATTTTAATGATTTTATTTTTAAAAAATTACTCTCTTATATTTTTTCATTTTTTCGTTATTACTAATTAATTCTTCTAACTTTTTCTTCTATTATTTAATATTTTTTTGTTTTAGGGGCCAATAATGCATGTTTAAGTTTAAAAAATTAGTTATTATTTATATTATCATTAAATAGTTTATTTTAAGAAAAAAATGGAAAAAAATTGATAATAAATGTGTAATTTGGAAAAAAATCATGTGCAAGTTTTTTTAATATTAAATAACAAATGTCTAAAAATAATAGTTAAAATGTTAAATTTTTTTAAAAAAATAATTAATAAGCAAGCGTGTGGAACCCATGGGAAGTGAGCTATTATGGATAGTATACCAATTAGATGGTTACTTTTGTAACTGAAAAGTGGAATACAAGTGTCATATATTTTTCATGCAAAATTCTTACTTTACCACTGTATGTTTCTAAAAGTGATAAGAGCAATAGAAGTGGCACGAATTCCTTTAGACAAGATTTTTAATTGCTGTTAAATACTTAGTATAAAACATAGAATTTTTTAGGTTCTCTGTGTTTAGAATCTTGACATATTTAGTTCTGTTGACATTTACCTAAAGTTGTATTTCTTACCTTTGATATCAAATTGAGTTCAAATCTTTTCTTTTTTTTTTAATTTCTACATATTTAGAATCTCCACATACTTAGTTTTAATTGAATCTACCTCTGTATACTTAACAGTATATATGAAATTATATTCAAAATTTTTAATCATAAGTTAATTTTTATGTTACATTGTGTATATGATACTATATAGACATTATCTTTTCTAATTAGCTTTGTAACTAAATGATTTTGATTTTTCTATTTTATCCAAGTATTATGGTGCAAGTTACATTATCTTATCGACTCATGTTGAGAGATATAACAGAGATTTTTGGTTTGCCTCCTCCAAAAGATCATGTATTAAAAATTGAAGGAATCAAAGTACCAGCAATTACTGTATGTATGTACATATGCTAGAAGTTAAAAGAGTGAATGTTTGGTTAGAATACGCTCTCTGGGATATCATAATTATGGTGCAAAATTTGAAAAGAGAAATAGATGAATTGCAGGATATCTGTTCAGGTATGATGACACTCAGTCAACATCTTACTAGACAGGTTTTTACACTTTCTGCACAACGGAAAGAAATTAGTACAATCAGGGTTTCAGACATATAAATATACAAGTATATTTTTTATATACAGTTAGCAGTCGTAATAATGAGAAGTTTACTACGTAGGCTTTCTGTAGCAGCTAAACATATATGTATTGGAATTTCTTTTGGTTCATTAAACTATATTTTCATATTATATTAAGGTTATCAAATGTTGGGTTGTATTGAACATATTTGTTTAATGAAAAAATATTTATATTGTGAACTGTTGTCAACAGACTTTAATGTTGACATATAATTTATAATTTAATTGATCTCTCTTTAGAATTTTTTTAATCTGTTAATTTACGCTTTAAATTCATGTGATTTTTTCCCTTTTTCTTGCGATTTACTTTCTTTAGGGATTGCCTACAAGTAGATTTTTGCATAAATTTTAATCAATATAGAAGAACTGGATAGGAAAAAAATAATTTTATTTGGTATATACTAGATAATTAGCATTTTATTTGTTTAGTAGTTATTTTAGGGATTGCTTATAAGTAGAATTTTACACAAAATTAAATTAATGTGCAAGAACGAAAGATAATTTTATTTGATATATCTCATGTAAGTACAATTTTATTTGTTTAGTTAGGTAAATTATGTTAGAACTCATGGCTCATTACAGGTTTTGATAATTGACAAACCAATTCCAGATCATGACAAAGATGAAGCAAAAAGAAATCAGCAAACCAATCCTCCAAGCAAATGAAGGCAAACCTATCAAGAGCAAAGGATCAATATGAAAGAGCACAAGAATTGAAGAGCCAAGCAAGAAAAGTTAGATTCATAAATTGTACAAAGGGTAACACTCAACTCTTCTAAGTTATTGGCTCAAAATAAGATGAATTTCGCTCATGCAACACATAACATATTTCCAAGCATAAAAATGTTTTTCGAGCCATGAACATCGATGTTGTGGATTTAAACATCGATGTTCCTGCCTTTGAACAATCTTTCAAAACAGGCAGTAGGCTCAGAACATCGATGTTGGAATACCAAACATCGATGTTGTCATCTAAACATCGATGTTCCTGCCTTCAAAGAATTTTCCAAAAATTGGGAGAAGGCTCAGAACATCGATGTTGGATTCCTAAACATCGATGTTCTCATGACCGTTGCATTTGAAAATATTTTTACATGAGCAAAACATCGATGTTGGCTTTAGAACATCGATGTTCTTCAAATTGGTTCTTTAAACTCATTTTCACAGAAGCAAAATAACATCGATGTTGTAAATTAAACATCGATGTTCTTCAATGATCAGCTTTCATCTCATTTTCACAGAAGCAAAATAACATCGATGTTGGCTTTGAAACATCGATGTTCTTCACATGATGCTTTAAATATTTTTACACAGAACCAAAATAACATCGATGTGGGATTTATGAACATCGATGTTTTAGTTACCGTTAGTCCAAAAATTCAAATTTACTGGACAAAACATCGATGTTGTACCTTTAAACATCGATGTTTAGCCGTTGAGCAGACAACTTTTTGGCACCCATTATGTTTTGTCTAAAGCTGTTTTCTTGAGTGTATTTTAAACGGCTCCATAATTTTTCAGAGCTATAAATTGAGCATTTTCAGCTCTGATAGAACAACAATCAACTCTCTACATCCATTCTATTCATTCATACATACATTACAAATCTTAATTGAGCCAATATCCTTTGAGGATTGAGAGTTGCCTTTTTTAGCTTAAATTTTGTAACTCATATCTACTCTTGTGAGAGCCTTTGTTTGAGTGATTGTGTTGTTATATACCCTAAGGGAGGTTAGTTCCCTTGTAGCAGCTCATAGGAAGAGTGAGTTTTCTTTCCTTGAGAGAAGTCTTGAAGTGTGGTATCTTCAAGCAAGAGATTAGAGTTTCTTGTGATTAGAACTCTAGGTTTGTAACGGTTTGTTAAGCACCCCTAAGCTTAACATAGCTAGTGGAATCTTCAAGAGAGTCTCTTGAAGGACTGGATTAGCCACACAAGTAGTGTGTGTGTGAACCAGGATAATTTCTCTTGTTCTTCATTGTTTAAATTCCGCACTTATTTCCTGCTTATTTCGTTTTAATCCGATAAACGCTATTCATCCCCCTCTAGCGTAGGGCTATTGTTCTAACAAATTATCTTTTCATTTGTTCTCTGTAATACTCAAGATTATTCTAATTCTAAATACACAAAAGTGAATAAAAAATACTAAAGTAAAATTAGTTATTGTTATTAGAATTATAGGGTGACTTGGCAGTTTTATAGATAGAATTATTTGAAAATGGAAAGTAAAAAAAGAAATATTAATATTTTATTTATTAGAATTACTTATAAAAATCCCTCATGCAAGGAAAATTTATATTTAGCTAAAATTTTATCTCACAACAGGGTTCGAACCTGCGGGGACAAAGCCAAATAGATTTCAAGTCTGTCTCCTTAACCACTCGGACATATCAACTTTACCGTCCGGGAGTATTTTACATCTCTCAATATCTCCTCGGGGAGGGTACTTTTCAGCACATTAATTAATACCATGTTATGAGTGATGCGTCATACACTAATGAATGACATGTTGTCTATTATAATTATTCTCTTATAGTATAACAATGAGCAAATTAATAGAATTACCTTCTTTATTAAATATATAATTTAGAATATCAAGAATATCAAAAAATTGCAAGTCTTCTATAACAACTCTTTTATACTATAAAAGTCAACAAACTAATGTAATTATTTTTTATTAAATATATAATTTAATATGATAAATTATATAATTTAGAATATCATGAACATCAACAAATGTGGTTAAAGAAAATCTATTATATATATATAAATAGCAGAGGCATGTTTCAAGAATGATTAAAGTATTGACACATGGAAATTTAAAAAAATTATGAAAAAGACATGTGGCTCCATATAAGTTACATGTTCCATTTTTTAGGCTACAAGGTCTTTAACTTTTTTATTCAAATTCAAAACAATCTATTTTAAATTATATTTTTTGAATTATCTCTCTTTCCAAAAATAGAGTTATTAGGTTCTCTTTCTAATTCAAATTATCTTTTTAAAATTATTTTTTAAAATATAATAATAAGAATTATTAGTTTTACTCTATTTAAATAGTCTCCCCTTAGTAATACAATTTTTCTCCAAATCAGTCTCTAAAATTAATTTACCTTTGAATTGTATGTTTTTATATAAGCGAGTTTTATTGTTTCATTTTTCACAATCACTTTATTTTTTATGCTATGTTTTTATGTTTAACTAATTAATTTTTTTTTGTTCATAAAAAATCATTTAATTTTTCTTAATTTGATGAAATTATTATTTAATTCAATTTTTTTGATTTATCTTTTTTAATAAATATTAATACAGAAGAAAAATTATTGACCCCCGTGTGACACAAGGGGTACTATACTAGTTTAATTTAAGGATTGCTATACAAAAAGTTATTTTGAAGAGTTCCTATCCCTTTACAATATACGAATGATAGTAATCGAAAAACAAGTACTGGAAAATCATAATTACAAAAAAGAACATAAACACTTAGCAAAAATTTAAAATCAAGAACAACGATTATGAAGAAGAATAATCATAAAAACTCATGAGGGATGTGCTCGCAGTTTACCTAATAAATTCAAATTAATATATAAATGATGAAAGCATATAATAAATTGAATAGAATAATTATTTTCCTATTGACTTTAAAAATTTTAAAAAAACATATTACGATATTTTATATATCAAAATAAACAAGATATATAATTGAGAAATAACATAAAATTTTAAAAATATATCATGCTACATAAAAAATTTAGAATAATTAATATAAACTCTATGGAAGAGAAGTAAAGGTAATAAATGAAAGGTGCAAATACAAGCGTGTTATAGAATAATATTCTTACAAATAATATCAAAATTTAAAATTCGACAAAAAAATAAGATATGTGAAAATAAAAATTAATTTGTTATCATGTAAAATTCTATATTATGTTAATTATTACAAATGAATAAAAATTATATGCAAAATTAAAAAAATTAGAGAAGGAATAAAAAATTAATATAAATTCTGATAGAATCATGTATTATAGAAAATAAATAAAAATTAATGTATATGAGTTTCATATAAAAAAATTATTGAAGTTCAATAATTAAGAATGAGATAAAATATAGTGTAAAAGATGAAAATAGATAAACTTTTAATTTACATAAGAGAAAATTTAAAAAGGTAATTATATAAAAATTCTATCCAAGTATAATGACGAGTAATATTATTTTTCATATTCTAAAATCAGTAAACATTATGATATATACTATATGTATCATGAAGATTTTAACCAAAATAATAAAAATACATGAATTGTTATATAAAATTAAAAAACATGAATAAATAATTTATAAATATAAAGATCACTATTATTTTCCTTTGCACTTTTTCACAATTTAGCTTAATTTATTATTCTTTTTCATAATTTGAAAAATATTTTTGTATTAATAATAATAAATTTTAGAATGTGATCATAATAATATTTTACTATATCATGTCGAAAATACATTAAAAAATGATAATCT